TCAGGGCGGCCCCGGGGCGGGAGCTTGGCCTGGTCTGCCTGCCCCGCTCCCAGCCGTGCTGGCCGGCTTTGTGCCTGAGCCAGGAGCTGGCTCAGGGCCTGGTCAGGAGATGGGGAGGCCTCCGAGGAGGAGCGACTGGAGTTTCTAACCCTTTTTCATCACGCGGGCAAACGTTGCGAAAGTTCTTGGTTATTAAGACCGGCAGGCAGTGACTCCAGGTTTCTCTTACTTCGGTCAGTTGGTAAAGTGGCCAAGGACTGGGTTGGGACAGCAGCTGGTTGTTAACTTGTGGCAGTGGAGGCTCAGCTGACTAAAGTGAATCCAGGGTAAACACAAGATCCTGAGTTGGCAGAGTTTTTGCTTGTCAGGCAAAACAGCTTAGAAAGATGATCCCACTTACTACGGGGCTTATCATCTAGTAGATAACTGAAATTGCCTATTGTGTGTGGGGCTTCAGTTAGGGGAAACTTTCAAATTTTGGTCAATAACTGTTAGCCAGAGAAATGGGAAATAAGGGTCTTATCACAGCTTTGATACTTTGCACTGCTTTTTGCTTTGGGAAGTAGTGGATCCTTCCCAAGAAGCTGGAGTATGACAAAATAACTTTTTTACTTTTCATATTGGTGTTTGATATTGAAGCCTTCCCTGCTACCAGGCAGATGGAATTCTCCTGTTTTTTATTAGTTTTGGGTGGGTTTTTTTCATATTTTCAGAGCCCTGAGATTCCTAGGTGTGTGTGCAGTTTCCCAGCTTCACTGCTTTGTGTATCTTGTATGATATGGCAAGTTTCGGGTGCTTTCTTTGATTAAAAGAGAATGATTTTTCTTTGCCCAGAGAATGAAAGCATCACTGATCACATCAGTTTCTTTATGCTGTTGGTACATGAAGCTGTGAGCAGTGGTCTTGGAGCAGCTATGGACTGGGTAGGAGGATAGCATTATCTCAGCTACCATCATGAATTCTGCTTTGTTCAGGAAGGCTTTCATGTGGTTGTGCTAAATAAAAGTTCATATAAGGATATATTCTTCTCTTACTAGTTTCCCAAGAAAATCAACTTCCCTTGTTAGAGGCAAGTAATCAAATGGAATTTTTTTCAAAGCCTGGCATGTGGATTATATTACATTTGGGAAACTAGCTGATCCTTTGCTCTGACAAGTTTGGACTATTGTGTGATTCCCAGGGCACCAGGAAGATGAAAAGATCTTGCCTTCTGCTTTTTTTTTTTTTTTTTTAACTTGGTTTAATTATTATTTTTTTTTCCCATGCTGAAAGAACAGTGCAAAACAAGGATATCTTAATTTAAGTTTGCTAACGTGAAACGCATGTTCTGCCATGGGAGGTGGAGATAGGGGAGCTGAAAAACACAGACTTCTTGACTGAGTCACCATGACAACGCAACTAAAATGTTGCCTTTCTTCTCTGGTTTTAGACAACCATTCCCAAATCTCTTCCTAGATAAGGATGAGCTTGTTTTCATCGTTAAGAAATTCCTTGTTGTCAAGTCTGCTGGTGCTGCTCTGGGGCTGAAGAGCTGGTAGAATTATTAACTCCCTGTTCCCCAGCACCTTTGTACTGTTTCTGAGTTAGGGCCTGCTTCCCTGAAAGATACTGCAAAGGTGGGAAAGTTTCTTACTCAGAAAGGGACTGGAAGTAGCACATGCTAGTGCTATTCATTGGCATGATGGTAAGATTAGAAAAGATGAGCCTCGTGATAAAAGTAGCCCCAACAAAACTGCATGACTGAGCTGTTTGTGACAGAACACAGTGTCTCAGCCTTGCAGTCTCTTTAAGCTTCTTGCAGGCTATAAAATTAGTGTAGCAGGCTTTGTGCTAGACTGGATGGAGAACATGCTCATGAAGCAGCATCTACTGGCTCAGCTCTAATAGTAATGCTCAGCAAAGCATGTGGGAAACAGCACAGCTGACTTTTTTCAGGGAATGTTTGACACCTGGGATTATTGAAGTAACTATGCAGAGCAGTGAAGTACAAAGCTGGAGGTGATCAAACCTGGATGATGCCCTACAATCCGTGTGCCTGGAAACGTATTTTTTTGCCTGGGCATTTTTAAATGCTAGGTCACAGAACTAGAATAAATTAAACTAGACCTCTGTATGTTGTCTAGTCCAACCTCCTGCTCAAAGCAAAGCTAACTTCAAAGTTAGATCAAATAGTTCAACTGAAAATTCAGCTGACTTTTAAAATAAATCTCTAAGGACAGAGTCACAGCAACCCCTGTTAGGTAGCCTGTCCTGCTGCCTTACCACTCTCATTATCACTCTGTTTAAAATAATGAGGAGCATTCTCTCAGGTGGCTACTCAGATCTAGATTTTGGCTAGTGTATCCTCAGGTAATTATGTCACAGAGTAAATGAGCACTCAAAAAAAAAAAAAAGTAGGAATTTAAGAATACCATAAGAAAATAATTGTAATTTGGAACAATGTGGGTTTTAATTTAGTCAAAATTCAGCCCTGTGCTAGTTTCTGTGCTGAAGCATGTTTAAAGGAGTGAGTTTCTCTTCCAAAGAGTTTCCCATCTAATGAGACCCAGGCAGATCTAGGCTTTTTTTATGCTTGGCAATTAGTTCCATCACATGCTGGCATTTGCAGAGGAGCTAGGATTTCCCCTTTACTCTCCCCAGTTTCCAATAAGATGCTTTTATTCACATGGTCATCCTTCTACCCAGAAGGGATGGGGACAAAGGTCCCACCTTTATTCTGCTCTCAGCACTAGTTCAAGTCTTAGGAGTTATTTTCTTAAAAGAAGACATGCGTATCTTTCTTATTAAGTCTTTGAACAGATGGAAAAAAAATGAATTATTCTGCTGTCTCATCAGGAGACTGTCTGCAAATTATCTAATCTCTCATAGTGTCTGTAGCTTTAAAGAATGTTGTTAATTATACTACATTTTCTATGTTAAAGCATACCAAGACCACCAGGTAATTCCATAGTGCACTGAAGAACTGTCAGGTAAATTGGACTAATAAGCAGGAAGGGAATGCCTTGTTTCTATTTCAGCAGTCCTTCATAATAGCAGCCCTAGTTTACTTTATGCTGATGACTGAGCTTGCTTCATAATTTAAATAATGGCAATATTGATCTAGACAGCTTTAAAAAAAAAAGCTACCCTGCATAATTATGTTAACTGGTAAGCCTGGAGGGCTCTTGCGGGTATGTAATGTGCAATTAAACACTACCTAATTAAGAATTTTCCTGATGTTGTGATAATCTCTTGAGTAAATGCTATTTGCTTATCTACAGTCATATTCAAGATCATTTTGTATTTTACTGATTATCAGTTTCTGTCTGGTCTCTATGGTACAATTTGGAAGAAGCAAAGTTGAGGGTTGGTGGTGGAGCATTTTGTAGGCATTCATGAACAATTAAAAAAAAAAATCATTAATAACAATCTGTTTAAGCAATGCTTAAAATTCTGGCAAAGTCAAGGCTGCTCAGGGTGATTTCTCAGCAGATGTGCTGGGGTGCTGCAGTGAAGCAAGAGCTCTGTCTTATCATCAAGCATCTACATTGTGGCATCTTGGCAGAGTAGCGTGAGCCACAGCAGATGTGTCGCTCCTGTTGCTTTCTTGGCTGTGCTTCACTTGTGTCACAGCTTCATGGGTCATTAACTCTCTTCTCAAGCAACTAGTTTTGTTTTAATTTACAGCATGGATACACCTATGAAGTTGGTGGACATAGCAGGATGTCAGTAGATCTTAATTTTTTTATTAGTGTCTTAATGCTCATAGCTGCGTCTTTTCTTTCTGTGTCCACCAAGTAATTTAGCTTTTGCTACTTATTTCCCAATATTTATTTTTTTTTGTGGGAGTATGTGAGGGGAGTGTGCTTCTGAGGAGTTCTGGTGGTGTGTTTTTATATATCAAGGTCAGTAAAAATGCCAATTGGAGTCTTTCTCACACCTAGAAGAAATGGAAGAGTATCTGTTTCTCACAGATCCTCTGATATGTTCAGGCTTTAGCCTTTCCTTTACAAGGCTGCTAATAGGGCTGTCTTCCATATTCTTGTTTTCACAAATGTTTAGAGAATGAATATGAGTGATCTCCCTTTGTTGAGGTTGGCCATCAGGCCCAAAGCCACAGGGATATTATCTGGAAAAAGACTGAAGTGGTATATTCTTGTTTCCATTTGCTATCTTAACAAACATGTAGAGTATGTCTCCTTGGTTACAGAAATGTCAAGTGCTGATGAAGAGAATCCTTGTGTCACTTTTTACAATAAGATGCTTTCTTCGTGGTTTTGTCCCCTTCAGTGCAAGGATTGGGATCATTAAGGACATTTGCAAAGTACTGAATCTGTGCCAGCATTATCTTACAGGACACTGCTGGCATTTGGGCCCTGGTGGTTTCACTGGGAATGAAAAGAGCTGTGTCCTCTGGCAGGATCGGGCCTCAGGTTTCTAGAAGATGCCTTCAGGTCTGTTAATATTACAGCGAGGTTGAACCACTGTTCTGAGCAGACTGCAAGAAGGTAAAAGGAGTATTTAGTGAGGACTGCAGTGAAATTGCTGGGAGGTGCAGGCATGACTATCCCTGACTTGTTGGTGATGGGATCCCAGATATGGTCATGTATAAACTGTGCTAGCATAGTGTGAAGCACATTGCCCAGCTGTCTGTACAAACTCCTCTGGAGTTCCAAAATCAATAACCCATTTAGAAAAGACTAAGTGGGCCCTGAATCAACTGTTGACAGAGATGACAACAGTAATGAATGACTACAGTGTAGCACCACAGGAAATACTCAGCAACAGCAGAGAAAAATGGTTGTGTGTCTTCGGTGTCCCAGTTGCTACACCAGCTTTCTGCGCTGGTTCCTGGGTCCAGGGCACTCTTCCTCCTCAGCAACAAGATGGAGTCATTTCATGTTGATCCTCCCACAGTACTCCCAACTTGCTGACCTGTATTCCTCTGTTTTATTTCCACAGGCCATCATTCTGGTACACTGGCTGCTCACAGTGTGGTGAGTGATTGGGGCCTGGCCTGGGTGAGAAGAGGGTATTCCTTCAAGCTAGGAATGGGACATTCTCAGGGAGCAGCACTCACTGCTTGTCCCTTTCTTTGTTCATAAAGATCCTAAATCATAGTAGGGTGTTTGCATGGGAACAGGGATGAATGCAAACAAATAGTTGCAGGCTTATTGAGAATGTGGGCTGGGTTGTTTTTTTTCTTGTTTGGCAGGGGATGCATGAATTACATGTTTCCAGCCTCCTATGCCTGGGGAAATTTCAGTGTCCTTGCAGTGGGGATTTGGGCCATTGTGCAGCGAGATTCCCTTGATGCCATCATCATGGTGAGTGTGAGGGTTATTTGCCTCCATGGGGCTGCTCAGGCAGCGGGTGGAGGGCAGAAACAGCTGCTTTGATTCAGTGATGATTTTCAACTGTTCCAAACACAGCAGTGGACAAGTCAAATTCCCTGTTTGGATTGGTTTTTTGGGTTTTTGTGGGTTTTTTTAAGAGAGTGTATACAATCATAAGCACTGGAAACCATGGTGAGAAGCATTCACTGTCACTTCTTTTGCTTCTCAGAGATGAGGCATACTTGATTTTTAATTTTTTACCTGTTGTTGTGACTTGTAATGCCAAGGGAGGACTCAAAGTGTTTAATATGCTTGAGCTGGAGGGTCTTTATAAAACCCTTCTGTGAACATTGAACAGGTACCATAAGAAGGTGTCTGACAGATGTGAAGAAAATGAAGAAATAGAAGATTGTTCATTTAGGAGTGTCTGTTTACCTGGCAGAGTCAAGGTTTAGCAATTAGGGACACTGGGGTGAGGGCATGATTGTGTGAACACAGATCTTGCAGGAAACTGTTACTCCTAGTGGTTAATTCCCTGTTCAGTTCATGTTCCATTCTCTTTGTTCCAGTTCCTGACTGGTCTGCTGCTCACAGTCCTTACAGACATCATTCACATCTCGTTGTTCTACCCTCCAAACAACAGTCTCACTGATGACAGACGTTTCAGTATAGGCATGGCCATCTTCAGCCTCCTCCTCAAACCTGCATCCTGCTACCTGGTGTATCGGATGTATCGGGAGCGTGGAGGGGAATACACCTTCAACATCGGTAGGGCCCTTCCTCTGCCCCCAAGTCAGTGTGGGTGCTAAGGAGACCACCTTGCACTTGGGACACTTCAGCTGAGCTCTGTGCAGCTGGATTCTGCCTCCTGTTCCAGGGATGGGGTGCTTGCTCTCTCTTGCTCATGTCTGTTCTCCTATTTTGTTGTTCTGTCTTAGGCCTTAAATTTAAATTTACCTTCTTCCTCTCTTGCCTTGCAGACCTGGAGTCCTCAGCTGACAGCCATTTTGCCCACAATGGTATTGATACCACTGCTGTGTCTCCTAATAAAACTTATAGGCTTTTCCTCTCTTCCTCCTTCTTAATTTGTGTGCTTGTTGGAAGCCTTTGGGTGTCCTTCTCTCTTTACCAACCCTTTATTTTTCTTTGGGTGAAAGTAGAGGCAGCATCCTATCTAGCCTGATTATGCATGAGAGGGAAAGAAGCTGAATTTCTAACTCCCATGTTTTTTCTGGGCTTCACATATCCTAGCTACTTTGATTGCTTTAGACCTCTACTTCGTCACTCAGAAAATGGGACTGATGTTTGCCTTGTGGAGTCCTTGCTTGGAGGCCTTAATTTTTCTCCTGGTTGTAATTACTGTTGATAATGTGGCAGCCCTGCCAGAGAGAAGGGGCTGTGGCTGGATGTTCTGGGTCTGTCAGCTTTGCCAATCATTCCTGGTGCTAGTTCATGCCGGGGCAGCTGCCAAGGGTTGTTTGATTTGTGGATGTTCACCTTGGCAAGAACAGCAGCCTGGTGCACTTGTTTTTTTGCTTTCCTAAGAAGGCTGTGCAGGACAAAGGATTATACTGCATTACAGTGTTTGAAAGCTGTCACTTGTGCTGCTTTGGCACTAGCAAAGAAGATACTGTTTCCTGTGAAGATGGGTGGATACCTGTAGAGGAGGAGAGGCCATGAAAGGAAGCCATGGCTTGGGGTGCTATGTGCTATTTTTGTGCCTCTCTGCTAGTGTAATCTGGATGTCTTCTCCATCAGCTGCTTGTGCAAATGTCAGATCTGTTTTAACTAGGACAGGAAGCCTGTGAGTCCGCTGCAGTGTGATTGGCTGCTCACTGTGCTTATAACTGGGATTTGACATTTGTATCCTATGGAAAGTGTAGGAATCACTGAGGAGTTCATCCTTTTTCTCGGAATTTGGGAGTATTCCTTCTTTTCAACTATAGTGTCCTCACACAGGCATAATACTGAGAGTCTCCTCTCAGGCATGGGCTGGGATTCAGACACTTTGTATATTCATACCCTCTCCTGAACTGTCTTCCTCGCAATACTTTTCAGTACTAACTGTGCTGTTGTTTTGTAGAACATGGCTGACAGATTTCCTCTCATTTTCCTGCTATCTGGCATTTTCTTTTTGAACCTAACAGTGTTAAATTTTTTCTGGTTTTCTGTTTTGCTTCCATACACAATTCTTTGTTGCTTGGCAGCATTCTTGCTGCTAAAAACAATTCTCTGATATGGTGTGGTGCCCACCTTGGATTCAGATTGCTTTCTAGCCATGGCAGATGCCTGGCCTTTAGATGAAGTGCTGTACATGCACATTGTCTCTCTCTTTTCCTTTCTTAGTCCCTACACAGTAACATGATTTTGTACTAGTCTTGTACCACAGGCAAATTGTTAATAGTGCAATTGGGAGAGCTGCTGGATTCAAATGTAGTGCTGTGTTGTGGCACACTTGAGGCATAGCTGTGTTGTTGGGAAGAGTGGTTCATGGATGAATCATGCCCTTAAATCTATGCTGTCAGCTAGCCCTGCTTCCTGCTGCTTCTGCTTTCATATGCTCATTTTTCTACTAGATCTCATAAACTTGATCTTGTTGAAATATGCTATTACAGGAGCTTGTTATGCTGGTATGTAGCATGTGGGTCTTGTTTTCCAAACAGCCATGTTGTGGCTAATGAGAGGGCAGTTCTTGGGGATCAAAGAGGCACATTCAAATGTATCTCAGTTATTTTTGCCTTTGGAAGGACGAGTTTTCTCACCTCCTGCCTATGTAGTGAGGATACAGGTGCTGGGGAGCTGGTGGAGCAGGTAATGTGGCATGCTCCTGAGCTGTTAGTTTCTTCTGTGGGATTCAGTTTTTGTGCTTTTGTGTGTGTTTAGTGGTGTGTTGGGGTTTTTTTCCCCAAAAAACTTGTTCTTTTCCCTCTGCATTCAGGTGTCACACATGCAGGCCGGGATCGCAACGCCTATGAGCCAATTGATCAGCAGGATGCCCCTCCACAGTGGCCTGACTCAAGCAAGACAGCACCACAGCCCTACTGAGGCCCTGTCTGCAGCTGGGAATGGATGCTTCCCTTGCCTGGTCCTGTATTCCACTCTTCCCACATCCCTTATGATGGAGCAAGACCTCCTACTGAGAAAACAGGAGAGGAGCTGATTTTTCATTTGTTTTGCGTCCCTGAAACTTAGGCAGATGGGTTCCTGCAGTTAAGTCCAGAAGATGTCAGAAATGTCATGTTAAGCACTGTGACTCTTTGTAATTCCAGTATTGTCTTTTCCTTTCTCCTTCTAAATCCTGCCTCTGAGTGAGTGGATGCCCCTTCTGCAGTCATAACAATTCTTGTATTGTGCATTCTCTCTATTTTTAAGGGAACCACTCAAAATATTCCTTGACAAACTACCTTAAAAAGCCTTATGGACTGCATTTAAACAAAACCTTTTAACCTCCTTCCATGCATATACATTTCCAGGAAACATCTGGGAGTTCCTGAGAGCTGATTTTGATGGTATTTTTTAAGTAAGATTTATGAGCATAAGTCCCTGTGCTATCTGTGGTGGTTTGCACAAAGCTGGGGTTGGTATAAAATGCTCTTACTGGGCCAGGGAGCTGCTTTTGCTCCCAGTATCTAGTCTTGTGTTTTATTCACTGATGCTTTTATGCAAGTTGAATGTCCTTCAGGATATTTAAAATGGCTGTTGAATGTTCTGTGCCTTTAAATGTCCTTTTGCCTTAGCTGCCTATCTTAACAGAACTTGAAATGTTACATTTTTCTAAGAAAACTATAAAATTAACACAGTTTTCCTGTGTTGGAAAAAGTTACTCTTGTCACTTATGTCTCATTTGAAAATGTAAGTAATCCTGAGGGCTTGGGGCTGTAGCCAGGAAGTCTGGGAGAATTGTTTTTGGGGAAAATCTGCAGGGTTTAGATGGATTTTAGTCCATACTTTACTTAGACCTAAGCGGAGTGTACTGCTTGTAAATGTGTGAGCGGGGAAGGTGGGCCAGTAAAATGAGGACTGGGGGGAAAAAAAAGGGATTATTTACACTGCAGTGGTGAACTCTGTGGGATGTGATGAACTATAATCACACAATAATATGCTCTGCTCTGGCTTTCAAGGTAAGATCTTAAACCCCAAACATTCAACCAGATTATTTTTCAGAAGAAAGAGTATGTCAGCTTTGGCAAAATGAAAATACTAGTGCTAGGATGACCTGTTTTTCTAAGTCAGCTTCATTTTCAAAGTATGCATCTGTTATTCTACAACTGCACTGCTCTTGGCAAGACCTGCTGCTGCATTGATTCTTCAGTAACCAAAAGCCCTGCTAATTTTGCTCTACCTCTAGAACCATGCCATTTGTAATTTTGAAACCACTTTCCTCCAAGTTTGATCATTTTAAACTTAAGCAGGTGCTCCTGCAGTGCTTGTACCTGGAACTTGCACAGGTGATAGTCTGGTTTACTCACCCAAGATGAGTGCCAAGCATAAATTTTGTGGGCTGCCATATAGTAAAGCATAGGAATCAGTCTCCTCTATTGATCAGATGGGGAAGAGAGAATAATAGGTAGGCAGAAATTTATAGGGCTTGTGGTGTTGCAGGGCAGGCCTTTATTTTCAGTTAATGCCCTTCAGAACAGTTTGGTGACAGTACAGATCCCTGAATAACACGTTTAAAGGCTCAGGTTTTTTCTTCACTAAACCTGTGAAGCACAGACTGAAAGCAGCTGTTTTAAATGCAGTGGTTTTTTGGGTATTTGCACAGAGTTTCATCTAGTGAGGCCTTCTCAGCCATTCTTTCTGGAAGCTGTACTACACCATCTGTTCATACCCCTCTAACTGACCTGCTGTGTGCTGTTCTGTAGAGAATTTGGCACATCTGGAAGCTCACAGGAGCTGACCAAGGCCAGAGTTATGCTAAGCTCACTGTGCCTCAAGGATGCCTCTTTTTGGGCAATAAATCAGGAGTGAGGGGGTAAAAATTAGGCCACTCTCCTGGCTTATGAGGAGGCTATTTGTTCTGGCAGTGCTTAGAAGCACCAACGCGCTCTGGGATCAATACCTGGTTGAGCTGGGCCTGTGGGGATTCACCAAGCCTGTCGTGCTGATCCGGGCAGCTGGGCCTTGCCACAGGGCTCCTCCTCAGCCAGACCTGCAGCAGCTGTGATTCTCTGCTTGGGTGTTGCAGTTTTTGTTTGGTTTGTTCGTTTGGGGTTTTTTATTACTTGTAAATCCTCGGGTCCTGACGTGCCGGAGCCGTTTGGGTGATGAGCTGGCAGCTCTAATGGAATTAACCACAACCCCTCCTGCTGCTGGCGGTGCCGGGTCTCTCGGGTGGCCCGAGGGCTCGGGTGTTGGTGGGCGAAGGGCCGGGCTCAGGCAGGGTCCCCTGCCCACCTCACGGTCCCGGCCAGGCTCTCCTGGGGTGGCTGTGGCAGCCCAAGATGGCGCCCGGCGCTGCTGAGGAGGCGACGCGCTTTGGCGGGCTCGGAGCACAACGTGCCCTGCTCACATCCCAGCCGAGCTGCCTTCGGGACGCAGCTTTAATTAGACACGGGCAAGAGCAGCTTTCCTGCGGCCATCTGCAGCCCCTGTGACGGCCAGCAGTGCTAATCTCGAGGCATAAGCTGCTTATTGCCCAGCTGCAGCCAGCAGCAGCAGGAGGC